GGAACTGTAGTGTTCAGAGTGGCCATGGGGTTAGTGGGGCCTTTGATGGCCCATATAGTCTGCCATGTGGAGCATGCACGTATTGTCTGGCTGCTTCTGGTCAAGGTTACCTGTTCACATATAGTTCCGTCTCAACCCTTATATTAATCATGACGGAGCCTCCCGTCGTGTATGCTGATGACTGTGAGCTGCCGGCCTTCCGTCACGGTCCTGGCCTTATCAATGTCAAGTCTTGGGCTGCAGCCCCTCGGCACCGGCAGGTCTACGCGGTGGATAGTAGTGGGGGTTTCTTCTGTGTGGATCCCTCCAGGTTGGCCAAGGCTTTACAGCCCGGGCCTTCTGATGATGATTTCCTCGAGCTCGACTCTCGAGTGCCAGCGGAGATCCGTCTGCTGGAGGGAGGGCATGTAGTGGCTTTGGCTGTCAACCCTCGGCAAACACGGTTAGCCGTAGCAGCGGACGGTGGGAGTCTCTCTATCTTCAACCTCCCTCTCGTGGCGGGTGCAAAGCCGTCACCTGTGGACTTGAAGATAGGCTCTGAATTAGCCAGTATGGCATGGGTCGATGAGGATACTCTGTTGGTGGCGGCTTATCAGACTGTATTATGCTGTAGGATTGTAGGAGGGAAAGTCTCTGTAGTGGGTAAGGTGACTGATCTTTTATCGGCCACTGCTGCTTGTCCTATTGGTCCTACTACTGTGGCTATAGCTGACACTTTAGGGGAGCCTGAGAGGGTTCGTCTATGGGATACTAGGACCGATTCGGTCTCGTCTGCGGTGATCGAGGGGCTCAGTGAGGTCTTCAGTGGTGATGAGATGCTCTCCGACTCTCCTCCATGGGTGGTTCATTGCGTTTGTAGTCTCCGTGGAAGGCAGTTCGCAGCAGTAATTGGTCCCGCTGCTGGTGCCCAAGGGATAGGCTATAGTGCAGTTGCTATTGTGGAAGCTCAGGATGATGCGCGGCGCTTGGTGACAAAGACAGTGGTCATGGACCCGTACTTTGTTGAGTCTGAATGTGTCCCAGACCGACCGGCTGGGTGGACCTACTTCTTACCATCTAGAGGTCTCCTTTTCTGTGGGCATGCGTGCTCTGGTCAAGTAGCTGTACTCGAGGAGCCCCACGATGGAGAGGACGAGTGGGCCTGTTGGGTAGGCCCTGAGGGGCGGCAGCTAGGATGTGCCGTACAAGCTGAGACCAACCTCTGTCTAGGAGGCCCCCCAATAGTTGTGGAAATGGACAGGCCTGTATCCCTTCCGGTGACGGAAGGGGCTGTGGACCACGTGGAGGTGTACCGTATGGTCCTCTTACCGCATTCGGACGGTGAGACTAGTAGTGTGCACTACATGGAGGACAGACCCGGAGTGGGCATACCAAAACTGGACGCCGAAGACCACGGCGAGGCTTCACTGCATCTGGAGTTCGGCAAAGTCGATGCAGAGGCTGGATCAGAACCGACTCGGGACGGGGCAACTGGCGTTAAGGCTGAGACTACAGCAAACCACGACTCGGCCGCCGCGGCCAGTCCTGAGAAGGAGACGCGTTCGCCTTTTGGAGTGTTTGGTGATGGTGGTAAGACCACCACTGGTTTTGGTGCCTTCTCTTCCCCGTCACCCTTTGGGGCCGGGTTTGGATCCTCGAGTAGTGGAGGCTTCGGTGCTTTCGGCACACCTGCTTCCCCTAGTCCGTTCGGGACTGGCTCGGCCGTTGAAGGAGCTTCGACGTTCGGAGGGGCGCTCACGCCCAATGCAGTACAGTCGGGTTCGTCTACAGGATTTGGCGCATTCAGCACTCCGGTTAAAACTACGGGTCCATTCAGTGCTAAGGGCAGTGCTGATAAAGCCGGCACGGGGAGCATCTTCAAGGACATCGCGAAGGCACCAGATGTGAATATATCGGACAGTAGTAGTGGGAAGGAGGAAGAGCATGACAGGAAGAAGGGGAAGTCACCGCAGCGGACGCTGAGTGGAAGTGTATCACCACGCAGGAAAAGTAGTGGCGGTGGCCTCAAGTTGGGCCTGTCCCCTAGGAAGGCCGAGAAGGCAGCGTCGAGCCAAGAGAAGGTCGATCGTAGTGACGATGAAGGTGAATATCCCTTGGGTAAAGCTAGGCTTGTTCTGATGATGCATTTAGATACCCAAGACGACTTTGCCGCGGATTTGGCAGAGGCGTTAGGCGATTTTAGTCTGGGGAAAGCTGATGTTGGGGATGCCAGAGGTAGTAGTATAGGGGAGTACTGACTCCTGGTTCATGCTCCCAGCGTGGTGTGTTGTAGGGGAGGAGAAGATAGTGGAAATTGCTACTAAGACAGGCGTTGTTGAAGAAGCGAAGGATGATGCAATAACGACAGAGGAGGCTGGCCAACATGAAGGTGGTGGTATCCCTTACTCCTCCTCCTACAGGCTTGGTAATATCGTCTTAGATGCCTCAACACCCAAGCTTAGCAGTCCTACTCACAAAACAGAAGAGGATACGCATGAGGATACTGATGGTAGTAGTGGGGCGTGGGGTGCGGCGGTATTTTTTGAGGAAGAGGAGAAGGCGGCGATCATACTGATTTGAAATTTGGGATGGAATCTATACAGGTCTGTGAGGTCATCACGTTGGGCTATCGGTTGAATGAGAAAATCCTTTGACGACTGGTTTGTCGGGCGTGGACTTGATACCTTCATCGCTTCGCTTTCAGAGAAACCCGAAGACGGCGAAGCTGCCTCTACGACGGTTGTGAGTTCGCCGGTAAAGTCGGGGTTGGACCGGGAGGAGAAGACCCCCCAGTCTGGTGGGAGTATATTCGATGCTATTCCTAAGGCGACTCCGTTGGTACTGAGTGATAGCAGTAGTAGTGAGAGTAGTGATGACGA